TTCTCCTTCTGATGGCGACCTAGGGGGGCTTGGACGACAAAACTTACTGTTGGTTCTAGATTTGGGGAAAACGCCTTTACCACCCGCCGGTAGGACTCACAGTTCACGCTACCAGAGCACAGTGCGTTTAGTAGGCAGATGCCAGGTTTTCTGTCCGCCTTGCTGTCTTATTCCGCGGTTTTCGTCGACTTTACTCATCTTCGGGCGTTTTCTGAGGCACGGCGACTCGAATTAATGTCTGTGTTGTCCAAAAGCTGGATAATTTAGAAGGAGTCGGTTAGGCAACATTTGATGGCGGCACTGGCGACAGTCTGACCGACGGCCTGTCTCACAACCGAGGTTTTAATCTTGTTCGTTTTGGGGGCTATCGACTGTGCGCTGCAGTACTTCGGATGTAGTGGCTCTTTTTTTGCAGACCGGTAAATTCTATACCTCTGCCTCAGTTCTTATTATAGAAGTTGGTACAATTTGAACTGCGAATCGCACTGCAGTCGTCTCACGTTTACTGGCCGTAAACCATAAATCTTACCGCCAGCTTCATTTAAGTCTTTGACATCGGAAGTTTGTTTTAATTTAAAATACGTGAATATGGCAGAATAAGTTTAGGTGTCCGATAATCCTACATCCTGTGCCCTTTACAAAAGACAGAAACGAGGATGAAACACGCGATCTCCTTCGATGGATCTAATCCACGTCTGTGATGCCGAATAACAGGCGGCACTTATTGAAAAACTGTAAGACTTGAATCTGAATAATTTGAACTGTGGTGAACAGAAGGGCAGGGCGACCGCTCCGTCAACTCAGTCAAAATGAACGTTTACCTATTTGTATCATGAAGGCCCGAATGTGTGTCCCTGTTTGGCCTCTGCGCCACCGAGTATTCTAGTTTCTGCTATCAGCCGGACCGCTTTGAACTTTGAACGGATGACAATTATCTAACGTTCCTCTTTTATGGGCAGCTATAGTCGGAAGCTAGTCCATATTTGAGAGTATCTTTCAAGGACTACATTTAGTAGCTGTCACACACGCTCAATAGTCAGCGGTGACACCCAGGATGATACGTGACGCTTTACGATAACATCTACTAAGCCATCGAACTCGAGAGTGTGTGTCAGCTGAGTAACTGGGGGTTTTACTAGAGATAAACGGTGTGTAATACGCACGTAACATTACTGAAAGCGATGGAGCTACGTACAGTGCGATCTCATTATGAGCTACAACGGTTGGACGCAACAACTACGTGGTTTCATCGATATTTCCTCTTCTCAGATTTTTGAAGTAGGTTTCTTTATGTAAAGGCGTGGTTACGATTATGGAGACTATGCATATTCACACGGTTGGTGCTACAAAATGTTTCCGTTTTTAGGAGCTCCCTATTTTCTGCAATTTCCCTTCCAAGCCCTGCTGTCAACGCATTTACGGAATATGCCAAGGCAACTTTGATATTAAATGAAAGTTAATGCGAACTGAATTAGCTCATGAAAGATACCTGGTTTCTTAGGCTCCATCCGATAGTTCGACTGTCAATTCTGATGATGTCCACCGTATGCTTAATAGCTTGGTGGCACAGGGACGGTGGCACGCGTGGATTACTTTTAGGTGATAGACTTGCGTTGCATCTTCTGCCCCCTCGCCTCCCTCATCCGCCTTTGCCCGGTGTCAAGATAAAATCAAAAGAGCAGATCGGGCGCGAGCTGCTGGAGCCATCATGCCGGACT